TTACCACTTTAAAAAAAAAAAAAAAGAAAACAACAAATGAAAAAACTAAAAATATAATACCTTCATCTAAAATTAGTAACTTAAATTTGCAATTTCAGCATTTAAAAAATTTATGCAAATATATGAGTATGATTTGTTTTTAAAATCAACACTTTATATGTAGAAATTGAAAATATAAAAAACCAAATATATAATAAAATTTATGTATTTACCATTAAAGATATAAAACCAAAAATAAAAAGATGTAAATTGTTGACCATACTAATAAATTATAATTAAAATTCATAATTATATATTTCTCATCTCTGTATTAATTTTGGGTAGACTTTTATAGATTTACATTTTTTATATACTATAACAACTATACATTAATTTAGAATTTGATATAATTACAAGTAGGTAAGATAACGTAAGTCAAGTGTTTTTTTGTTAACATTTCCATTCATTAGATAAAGTATAGAACAAGATTACCAAGCTAACTATGTCAACCTGTTGCATAGTTTTGAGTATTCACTCAAGTTGTTTTGCTAGTTAATCAACATAGTTTACGAAACTCTAGGAATTTTGTGATATGTTAAACTTGTCATTTGAATTATTTAGGGCATCTCCAATGGTTGGCTTTATTTTTAATTTCAAAAGTTCATTTTATTCTAAATAAAGTAAAAATGAAGCAACATTTTATCTAATAGTTTACTTCATTTTTTTCTTGTAAAAAGAATATTCTAAGTATATTATATCTCTAAAATATTATTAATTATTAGTAACACTTTATACTTTTTGCATATTTCCAAAATTTACTCTACTATTTTGTTTACAATATCCAACACAATTTCTATTTAATATAAAATTAAACATTCTCATGTAATATAATTATTATATGACATGAATAAACAAACACAAAACATCATAATTTGTAAAAAAAAAACACGTATATATATTTCTGTAAGTGATTAAAAAAAATTTTAGAAGTAAGAGATGAGCTTATTTATCTTTGATTCTTTTTAATTGAGTTAAAAATTGTTAAAAATTAATATTCATATGATCTTCAATATAGATATCCGATTATCTGAAAATAATAGTCAAGTTTCGATATTAACTTGACAGTATTAGTATATAATTTACTTTATCAAAAAGTAAGAATAAATAAAAGTTAAGGACTAATTTATAATTGAAAAAAAAATCTAGTTTCAAAGAATGAAACAACGAACATTATAACTTTAAATTTGAAGCAACATTTTTCATTGGTTCATTTCGAAACAAGAAGTGAAGCATCATTAGGAACAAAATTTGTTTCAAAATAATATAAAAAGTGAAAAATGAAGTACCATTAAAAGGGTTATTAAGCTGTCATTCACTATAGATGACGCATCAGTCATGTAGAAATTTTGTGCACTTTCTTCTGTAGATATGTGATGCAAACTTTTAATTAACTTTGATCCATGTTAAAAAAGTTTCCAGCTCTGCCACTGCATACCATCGTGAATATCGGGAAAGTGCTGAAGATTGTAACGTGAGGGACGACGCACTGGACCCATCGCTGGAAGAAGAGGAGGTGGAAGTTGGGCCATTGTAGAGATGGTGATGATTCTCGAGAACAGAGACCGAACTTGTTCAAAAAACGAGAAAACAGAGAAAGTTTTGACTTTTGAGAAGATAAACGTGTGTTCAAGAACAGATGAAAGATTTTGAGAGGGAGATGTGTTTAAGATTAAATGAAAGGATTGAGAAGGAGATGTGAAGGAGAAGAGAGAGAAAACAGAGAACAGAGAGGAACAAAGAAGAGAGAAGAGCGTAAAACAGATGGATTTATGATGAGTATAATGAAGTTAAAAAAGAAGTTGACTAGAGCCGTCGACTCTTGATGATTTTAATTATTTATTGGGTTTTTATAATAACAATAGAAATTTTAAACAAAATGAGCTGATTAAAAACAAAAAATTGTGTTATTGTAGTTTTATCTTTTGAATCAAAGATGATGGACATTCCCTCTTTTTATTGTAATCGAAAGAGTTGAGTTTGAATGAAATTAAGTTGTGTTCAAAAAAAAAAAAAAAAATAATAATAATAATGTATTGTTGCAGCGAATAAACACAAAAATTCTAGAGAACATGAGCGGTTTGTGTTAACCGTTAACAGACGTCAATTTCATGAAGCTGCTGCATACAGAACCTGGTTTCTCGGTTGACGTGACACAAGATGTAATTTCTTTCTTAAGAGAGAACGCACCAGAGCTTCTCAATGTATTGGCTTTCAGCGAAGTGTTTGACCGTAGTGGAGGAGGTGCAGAGAGAATGTGTACCGTTTCTTGAGAATGTGTACAGAGAAGGCATTCAGTATTGTAATATTGTGTATCCTAAACATTGCTCGACCTAGCATATGCAACATATGCTTGTTCTCTTCCACGTTCTGACACAGTGTCACACACCAGTGCGATCAGCTGACCCATTAATGATGCCCGGTCTACGGCTAGCAAAAACAAATTTCTCTTGACCTGGACTTTCCGCAATGAGAACAAAGGAGACCATAAGCCTTTTGCATAAGCCTCTGCTCTTCACTGATCACTTTTGCATAAGCTTCCTTGAGAGTTTGGTGATGGATCTGAATCAATAATCAAATTAGCCATGTTACAAAGATGTGGTTCATCAAGCTAGCCCCATTAAGAACTGAGACACTTTTTGTTGGAGATAAACTTGAAGTTTAAGATAAAAATAAGCTAGGATTTTCCTATTCAAGATATGTCTAGGAATAAAAGATTTGTCTAATTACGTTAGGAGTTTATCTATAGTCTTTATATAAGAAGATGGTGAGTTGTGCCATGAACTTGTAAGCTTAGAGATTATTGTGTGTGAGCTTAAGTTTTTGAGTGATTTTCCTTGAACTAATAAAGTGTGTTTTACAATCTTTGAGTTCATAAACGTGACTTTGAGATAATAATTGGTATCAGAGCATAAAGATCTGAAATCAATATCCAATTATTTCCATACTCTCCAAGTGATAACTTAAACTTTCCAGGGATATTTTCAGAGTTTATCTCAGAGCTTGTATTCCAATTCCACCTTTTGATTTCAACAAACACAACATCTCTACTGACCACTATCTTCCGATGTACTAGATCGAATAACCTGTAAGCTTTAGACCCTGGTTCCGTTCCCAAATGAACAAGAGCTCTTGTTCTATCATCCAGCTTCCATAGGTATGGTGCATCAGACTTAGCATAACTTATACATCCAAAGACCTTCAAATGTTTTATGTTTGGTTTTCGACATTTGAGTGCTTCATATGGTGTCATTGACTCCAACAACTTTGTTGAAACTCGATTGATAAGATAGGTGGAGTTTCTCACACCTTCTCCTCATAGATAATTAGGGACTTCCATGTGTTTGAGAATACTTCTTGTCATCTCTAAGAGAGTTCTGTTTCGACGTTCAACTACTCCGTTATGCCGTGGGGAATACGGAGCAGTCAAGTGCCTGTTTATTAATTCTTGCATCTTCACAGAACTTTTTGAACTCATCCAAAGTGAATTCTACCCCTCTATCAGTCCTTAAGGTCCTTACACGTTTTTTGGTTTCTCCCTCTACCATGGTTTTGAAGATTTTGAACTTCTCCAATGCTTCACTTTTCACTTTTAGAAGTATATACCACATATATCTTGAATAGTCATCGATAAGAACAAATATATACATGTTCTTTCCAGCCGTTTCAGGTGTAATGGGTCCACATAAGTCTCCGTGTATCAGCTCCAGTTCTTCTATTGCTCTGTATACGGTTGAGTCGGGAAACAGATGTCTTGCTTGTTTTCCAAGTAAACACGAAGCACAAGTCTCGTGTTCAGCTTTTATGTTTGGTAGTCCTATCACCAGTTGATCTCTCACCATTGACTTCATAGACTTTTTTCCAATATGGCCTAAGCGGGCATGCCAAACATTCGACTCTTCTTGTGTATTTGCTTGCAAACACTTGATCTCAACAATATCCATAAGAACTTTGTAGAGTCTATTCATGGATCTTTCTGCATGTACTATAAGCTTTCCCTCTTTATCGTAGAGTGTCAGGTGATGGTCTTTCATCCTTACTTCACAACCAGCTTTTGTAGCTTGTCCAAGGCTAATTATATTACTTTTAAGTTCTGGTATATAGTAGACATCAGCTAGTATCTTCTTGTCTCCGTTTTGGCTTACAAAAAGTATTGACCCTTTCTCCTTGATGTTAACTCTAGAGTCATCACCAAATCTCACCTTTCCTGTTATGGTTTCATTCATTGTTTTAAAGTAGTCTCGTCTCCCTGTCATGTGGTTGCTAGCCCCATTATCCAAATACCAAATTCTGTCATTTACCGAACCAGTTTTTAACTCCTTTGACTTGACATTTTTTTTATTGAGATAAACTACTTTATTCATCAACAGACCATCAGCCTCTTGTGTGTCATCGGCTCTAGTTTCATAAGCCTCCTGCAATTTTAGTAACCTATCTGGACAGCTAGAAGTAAAGTGCCCTTTTTTTTCATAGCGAAAACACGTGATCTTGGAGATATCAAACTCACGGTTAAGTGATGCATGGAATGCTCATCCAAAGTCATTTTTCTTATGTTTGTGACACATTGATCCTATTAGGCTACTGGTGACATTTCTGAAGCTGAATGTCTTGAAGGAGCGTTGAACAGGAAAGAGCAAGAAATAAATTTCTTCGTTAACAAACAAAATAAAATAACAATCATATATTCTCCAAATAATTACTATTTTTTTTACGGAGGTCTAAATTTTGTATTAAAGAAATAGAAGTAACCAATTTCTCATTTACATAATGTTGGGAAAAACGAGGACGCATAGACCCCGACAAAGATTTAACCGACAATACATAAATTGCTTACACGACGACGAGAAACATACCCGTGGAACATAGGCGGTGCATCTCATCTAATATAACTAGTCGAGCGATAGTTAACTTTCTTTTTTTTTCTTTAAGAAAGAGAGAACACCAAAAGAAAGAGAGAGAAGGGAATGTCGTCGTCAAGGGAGCTACAATACTTGGAGTACACTTACAGAAACAACCGTCCCACGACGGGTCTTCTCAACTCCATCTTCATGACCACCGTCAACACCGCTGCTCGTTCTCTCGTTTCCGTAGCCTCCGCCCCGGATTTGGCTTCTAGGCGGTGGTCAGCTTCGGACCAACTCAGGTTCGTGTCTATGATGATGATGGCCGCTTGGCTCTCCCTTAGGGTCCTTAGGGTTTCTTCTGCTTATTCTTATTCTTATCATACTTTCAGTTTCGCGTCGGGTCTTCTTACCGCGGTGGCGGAGAACGCGTTGGTACCGGTTTCGGCTCCCTCTTCATCGTCGACGTTATCTACGGCGTTGGTGAAGTATTCAGGGTCGGCGGATTTTAGTATGATGATGGGCGACGGCGTTGATGCACCTTCCGTTAACTCTCTCGGTAGAGCACTTTGTCACGTAAGTGGTAGTTTGTAATTTTTCATTATTTGTTGCTAAATTAACATTAACGTTTTATTTGTTTCTTATTATGTTTGCTTATACTTGTATTTGACTTAAAAAAATCACTCGTTTGCTTGGATCCAAATTAAGCCACGACGGTCGTAATATGCATACGTAGAATCTGTTATTGTTAGAATAACCTCATATTTGATTGAAAAAGAATAGTTTCTTTATGTCATAAAATAATGATTTTGAAGCTTTCTATATTTGGACACTCCATGACATTTTATCTCTATAGTGTCGACGTGGATAACATGCATAATGCCACGTCATACATGAAAACAAAGAGGGGAATGGATGAATCAAAGGTTCGATAAGACAAATCTTGAGTGGTCATTTGTGATTGACGACACTGATTAACTAAAACTATAGCTTTTTACCAAAAAAAAAAACTAAAACTATAGCTAGTCATAAAAATGAATTATATGCATCGAGCTCTTCTGAGTTCTGATCTTTATAAAATTCGCTAGAATTAAATATGTATTGTTGTTTTGTTAAGATGTATATTACATATGCATCGCATATATTTGAATAACTAGGTGTTTTGTCCGCTTATGCGGACGTAAATATTTTATAAATATTTATTAATACATATAATACTAATTAAAAACTATAATGATAACTTATTGTTTATGTTTTTTAATTATTATGTATTATAAATATTTTGAAATTTTGTTTGGTATGTTATATTTTTTATTAATAAATAAATCTTAGAAATCAGTTATTATTTTTAAAAGTTATAATTATATTTTAATTATTATTTATTATAAATATTTTGAAATTTTGTTTGGTACGTTATATTTGTTATTAATAAATAAATAAATCTTAGAAATCAGTCATTATTTTTAAATGTTATAACTATATAAAATTAAGAATTTTACTTGATTAATAATTTTTATGTGTTTATTTTTTGATTATTTAAATTTAATTTAAAAGATATTATTTAGATAACAACATAATGTATATAGTAATTATCTTTTTTATTTAAAATATTTTTTTATATATTGGATTATTTTTATGATTAATAATTTTCATAACTCATCTAATCAAATAATTTTTAATTCTTTTGTATTTTTAATTTTATATTAAAAGATAGTTTAAGATAACAACACAATATATAGATGAATTATCTTTTTATTTTAATTTTTTTTTGGGTAATTCTTATTATCATTACAAATTTTAATAACTTATCTAATTAATAGAATTAAAATTCGTTTTTTATTTTGTGTATAATTTATAATTTTTCATTAAGGGTAAAAGATATTAACCATGCTAACTTTTAACGTGAGAGTTCCGTTGCGAAAAATCACTGTTTAGTACGTTATATTTGTTTAATAAATAAATAAATCTTAGAAATCAGTCATTATTTTAAAAATTTATAGTTATATAAAATTAAGAATTTTACTTGATTAATAATTTTTATGTGTTTATTTTTTATTATTTAAATTTAATTTAAAAGATACTATTTAGATAACAACACAATGTATATAGTAATTATCTTTTTTATTTAAAATATTTTTTATATATTGGATTATTTTTATGATTAATAATTTTCTTAACTCATCTAATCAAATAATTTTTAATTCTTTTGTATTTTTAATTTTTATATTAAAAGATAGTTTAAGATAACAACACAATATATAGATGAATTATCTTTTTATTTTAATTTTTTTTTGATTTTGGGTAATTTTTATTATCATTACAAATTTTAATCACTTATCTAATTAATAGAATTAAAATTCATTTTTTATTTTGTGTTTATATTTTTTTCATTAAGGTATAAACGATATTAACAATGCTAATTTTTAACGTGAGAGCTCAGTTGTGAAAAATCATTTCGCAAATAATAGTATAGATTTGATTGACTACGGTTTTGCGTATCTTTATTAATGGTTTTAATTTGCCATTTTATACATCATCATACATGTGTGTGCGAGTAGGTACTAGCGCTAATGAACGAGATTCCAGTAACCTCAAGAAAATACCATTTCACCATGGGAATGGCTGAGAAGATCATGGAAGACAACGCCCAGAGCTGCAACGTGGAGTTACTCGACGTCAATAGAACCGCCCTCGCTTCATCCTTCGCACGCACCACTGCGCGTTTGCAGGACTCCTTGAAACGCTCTCGAACCGCAGACGAGCCCTTCGGTGGTCTGCCTCTGCGTTTGGTCAGCGCCCTCCCGTTGGGAGGCTATGTTGCCTCCTCGTTGAGAGGGCTGACAGCAGCAATCAACACGGCCAGGTCCTTGGCGGATATGGCCGGTAACTTGTTATCACAGAGTAAGAGGAGGGAGTCTGCGTTGGTGAGAGCCGGTGGTTCTCAGGAGAATGAGGTTGAGTTGGCTGTTGAGAAGCTGGCGGAGGAGCTGCTGTGGATGACTGAGAAACTTAGGCGTTATGGTGCGGTGGAAGAAGGTATTAAGCGGTGGAGCTATGCTTCTGGTTTAGCTTCCTTGTCTCTCACGGCTGCTCCTAGGGTTCAGGGTCTTATGGTCAAGATTTCAGGTAATTATTTTCACTTTATTCACGCACTCATCAGGTCTCATGGTTTGAAGTTAACGCACTAATGTTTTTGCAGCGCTCTTAATTGGAGAGTTGGCACGAGACAGCACACAAGTTCCAGGACAAGTGAAGTTCAGGCTCCTTGCAAACTGGCTACCTCTGTTTAGCCACGCGAGGAACGGGCTAGCGTTTCCTGTGCTGACAGGCTACGAGAGGGTCGAGGTGGAACGAGCCATAGACAAAGCTATCTCGACATTGCCTTCATTTGATCAAGAAATATTACTCGCAAACTGGCTCCAGGATTTCTCGGTGTCGGCCTCCGAATGGCCTGATCTGACTCCAGCGTATGACCGTTGGTGCCACTCCATTCGCCAGGTTGCCATGTAGACGAGGAATACTATAGTGCCATGTTACAAAGAGAACAAAAATACATGGATGCGTCTCTTTTTAGCTTTTAATTTTGTTTCCAAAAATTTATCTTAGGTAACAAGACTTGTTTCGATCTATGCAAAGATTCACTCCTAAAAAAAATAAAAATTTAGACCTAAACACTTTGACGTATCTCTCGATCTATAGTTATTCCAGTATCCTGCTTAAGTGTTAACAGCTTGAGTTACGAGATTATTTAAAGAATCCATGGGACATATGATGGTGGTTTTGTTTATATTAGTACAACCAGGCAGCTATGGTGATCAAGTTGATGAGATAAATGCATAATATAAATAAGCTTCATATGGTAACAACAAGGTCAAATCTCTGCTTGCTAGAAAAGAACGATTCAGTTTCGAAAATGCTGGTGAAAACAGTGGGCAGTGGTTAGTAAATACAATCCATAAACTGTACAAACATGAGACCGTAAAGGCTAAGACCACCTTTATCCCAAATATCCACTTGGGTTTTTAATTTTATTTTATTTCCGTTTTTGTCTAATTAAAAGAAAAAATTAAAAAGAACCAATCGCGGGCCGTTACGTGTTAATGGGATCTGTGAACAGTTGAAAAGACCCAAAGCAAACGTTTCTTCTTTGGCAACATTGGCTCCCTGTTTTTTCTTTTAATGGATCCCCTCCCCCTTTAAAACCTTATTAAAGATTGGGATAATGGTGGTCTAATAATACCATAAAGTAAACTATCAGAAAAACAAAACAAACTATTACCATGAACAAGAATAGTAGATAGATGGAGCCATGTATGATTTTGGTTATTGAAAAGTTCTTCGCGGTCATACCAAATCTTCCCAAAAATAAACAGGTAACACATTGGATTTAGTAAACTCATGTGTAGGAGAGTTGCTGATTTAGTCAACTCAAATCCAATGATTCACATTAATGAAACCCACTCTGTTATATATATATTTTCAGGAGACTTGCTGATATTGTAGACACTTTATCATCATCAAACAACCAAGATGTCCACATTTATACATTTACAGCTCTGCAGACAGAGTTTTACCCTCGGGGCAAGCTGAGTCATTCATTGTAGAGCAGAGGAAAGCAGGACACGAAGTCCGTGCCTACTACAGCTTCATATCTTCACCTCATGTAGACCATTTTAGAAGTAACCCAGAACTCTATACAGCTGAGCTAAACCATTTCATGGAAATTTTTGTCCTTTCTTGCTGCAACCATTCTTCATAGAGACGTTCACACACGTGTTGCTGTTGTTGGGAGTCATTTTTAACTCCATACAGAGAAAGAAAAAAGAACTAGTTGATGATTCTTTTGGTCTGGATTGGTGTATAGATTGTTTATTGCAGTTAACAGATCGTTTCCTCTCTTGTAAATGGTTGAGTTTTGTACATTTAAGATTCGAGAAAGTAACCTTGTTTTTTTTTTCAACGAGGGCTGTTGATGTATTATTATAAAGTATTCTGCCCTTTTGTAATTTTATGATTTATGAGGGATCACAGTTGTATTGTTTTACCGTGAGACGCTGGTTCACCAGTGATCGCGTTTGGTTAAAAAACAAAACGTGAAAGTGTGATTTGCGTTTGAAGCGGCAGACATCGATATAGGATTTGCGTTTTCCTTTGACGGAATTCAAACCTCTCATTCTCTAGTCGGAGAATCTCCGGTGGATCTATCTTTGATTACTGCTACCGCTGTGGCAATGTCGCTTCTATATTGATTTTCGATGAAAATGTGGTGAGAAATATCTTTAAGTCTTCCATATTGAATAGTCTAGTCTTTTCTAGTCATTCTATTCTACCAGAACAAGTACACATTACTTGATTTGATATCTGCTTTTTAAAGTAAAGGTTTAAGGAGAACTAGATTTTGACCCGCGCAACCGCGCGGGTGTTTGTTTTCGTTTATAGTTAATTATATAAATATTTTATTTTCATTTACAAATTGGTATTTATTATAGTAATTAAATATTTATAATGTGTATAGTAAATGTTTTGCAAATATAATAATATTATATAATACATGTTTTAATCAAATAGATTGTTTCAAGTTTTCTATATTATACATGTTTTTCAAATTTGTGTTTGTTTCTTCTTCTGTATTTTATTGTTTGTTAGATTAGTATTTCATATTTAAATAAAGTAACATAAATAGAGATTGATTAAATATTATTATACTTTAATTTGCAAAGTTAATAAATTATATCGAAGGTGTGGGGTAATTTACCCAAACTAAATATATCCTTATAAATAATAGAATATTCCTAAACTTATATCTATTGACATATTTTGCGTTATCGGACGGTGAATATTCTGTTAAATCTATTCCACATATATATAAATATTCCATATTAGGAATCTGTGATTTTTGTTAATATATTGTGGATGCATTTAATTATTATTGATATATTTCCTTATAAATAATAGAAAAATTCATAAACTTATATCTATTGACATATTTTGCGTGACTAAGTTGGAAGGTGTGGGATAATTTACCCAAACCAATTTTTTAAGCATATGTTTGTTATTATAGATATGATTTTTCATAAGATATAATAATGATAAGATTAGAGAGTTTAATATAACCCTCCTTTCTAGGAATAAGTCCAAAATTTAAAAAATCACACATGAATTCAAGTTATGACTTCTGTTTTAATATATAAGACTATAGAAAGAAAGTTAGCAGCGGTTTCAGCGGTGCAGGACAAGCAGAGTGCGGTGCGGTTTAACTGTGGTTTGAATAAGAGAAATGTAGACTGCGGGATAACTGCGGTTTATTCAAAATAAGCGGGTTTTAAAAAGTATGAATGGTGACATATAATGAATAGTGTAACTGCGGGATACATATAATATATTTATATAATTATACAGTTATATTACTTGTATTCTATTATTTGAAGTATATAATATATTGCATAGAATATAAATGTGGTTTAAGATATAATATTTTCAAATCTCATCAAAACATATTAAGTGCTAAAATATAAAAAGATAATTTTCTTGTGAATATAAGACAAAAATATAATGATAGGTTTTTACTTATATAAAACATGATACATATAAATTATTAATTTATAATTTAATGGGATCATACATTTACAAAGAAATTTTTAAGAAAATATTATCTTATTACTTTTATCGATTTGTGTTAAATTTTGAACCAGCCCAAGTTAGAGCTGGCAAAATTTATTAATTTATAGAGTTTATTAACTTATAGAGGTTCTACTGTATATTACAAATTAAAAATACAGTACACTAATATAAATTTTTAAAAATTTGTAAAAAAAATATTTTCTGTAAATTTTACTAACTTGTAAATTTTTTGTATTTTTAATTTGTAAAATATTATCTTATTACTTTTATAGATTTGTGTTAAATTTTTGAACCGGCCCAAGTTAGAGCTGGCAAATTTTATTAATTTATAGAATTTATTAACTTATAGAGGTTCTACTGTATTTTACAAATTAAAAATACAGTACACTAATATAAATTTTTAAAAATTTGTAAAAAAATTAATTTTTGTAAATTTTACTAACTCGCTTCTTCATTCAAAATATTGTGCCATCAAATGTTAAATCTGCAGCTATCATCGTTTAAACGGTTTTATTTTTTTCTAGAATAAATAACATGTAATTTGTTTCTTTTGGTTCTAGACGTTTGAAATCTATTAGTGTAATTTAAAATTTTGGTTCGATTTTGGTCCGGTTATTTTTGTTTTAGGCTTTTTTGGGTAAAGAAATTAGAAACCGACTAATATCCAAAGTAATTTCTGATCTCATTTGGTTCTGTTTTAAGTCTTGTTTTTTTATTAATTTTGGAAAGAGTAAATATCCGTCTTTTGGATTTTGGGGGATTTGCCAAAACCAACCTAAAATTTCATTTCAACCCTAAAGGTGTACCCCTTATTGAGTCAAATGCAAAACCAACCTAAAGGGGTTTTGAAGTTACTACTTGACCCTTGTGACCAAACAAAAAAACAGACAGTTATTTTACGGTTCTGTCCTTTGCAAGTCTACACATAATAGAGAGAAGTCTACACATT